AAAGAAAGGACCTTAAAACTCATCCTGTTCCACTCCTTGCCACAGGCAGGGACACCTTCCCCTAGACCAGGATGCTCCAAGCCCAGTCAAACTCAGAAATTCTCCTGCCCTCACTGCTGTGAGCTCTATTAGAGCTCAGAGTGATGAACTGGATGTCTTGAAAAATCTATTACCAAATGTCAAGATAAGGAAAAAAAAAATCAAAAAAGAGCAACACTTTCCTCTCGCTGATTTGAAGCTCAACAATGAATCCCCATGTGTGGTTTACCACCCAGAGCCTCAGCAGAACTGATGAAAATTGAACATGGGGACAGAACAATTTCAGTCTCTGTGGTCCTTTGACTTTTCCATTGCTCTTCTATAAACCCCTGGAATGCAAGGTGTTCCCAGGAATGAGAACAAAGTGTTTTCCTTCTGTGCAGTGATGGCAGCAGGGGGAATGCTGCCCTGGGGAAGTGTGTTTGCAGGTGAGGTGTCCCCTAATTTTGTGACAACTGCAGAAAAGGCCCAAGAACTGAACCCAAACCCACACATAAATCATATTAGTCTCATTTATACATATATATAATATATATACACACACACATTTAGTACTGTAATAATAAAACACACAGTTTTCAAAGTGTTAGCATATGCTGGAAAACATTTTCCCCTTCCCAGGGCTGATCAGAGGAGAGAACAACCCCTTCACCATTCCAAAAGAGACCACACTTTGCTGTTTGGGAGGAAAGACAGGAGGATTTAAAGGTAATGGTTTGCTGCCATGAGCCAATTTGTTCTGCCTTCACTGAACAAGAACCCTTAAGCTCAGCAAATAGAGTTTTGTAGCCTACAGCTCTCCTGCCCTTGGCTCCTCTGACACAAGCTCCAAGCACTGCCAGCTTTCCTGCTCCGTGTTCATCAGGAATGGGTGCCCAGGCTTAGGGAATATCAGTATTCATTATCTTTTTAATCCCTTTGTCCTCTGATGTTCTAAAGAGATTTTAAAGATTTATGGGAGGATAACCATGCAGGGAAGGGGCCATGGTACCAAGTGACAGGTTTATAGGATCATGGAATGGTTTGGGGGGAACAGACCTTAAAGCTCATTCCATTCCATCCCCTTCCACTATTCCAGGATGCTCCAAGCCCTGTCCAACCTGGCCTTGGACACTTCCAGGGATAGGGCAGCCACCAAGTATCCACAAAATTCAAAATATTTTGAAAAAACAAATAATTCTTTAATAATTTAGAATTTAATAATTCTTTAATAAAAAACAAACAATTCTTTAATAATGTGTTTCTTATTAAAGAAGCTGCCAAACCCATTCTCTCAGACAGGCAGTTTTATTATGAAGAATTGCTGGACTCAGTCTAAGGAAGGGTCTGTGTAATTAAAACTATCTAAAATATGGAGATAGAGCTAAACTGCAGATTAATTTTTAATGTGAGTTTTAGATCTCCTTCAAGTAATTTTGGTATTTGTCCTTGTTTATACTGCAGTCTGAGACTCAGCCAGATGAGTCAGGGAAAAGCCAAAGGAGTACCCAGCCAGGGAGGCCATTTATCAGCTCTCCTCTGATGTCTTCATTTCCCATTTTTTCATTTTCATCTTAAGAAAAGTTAAAAATCAATCTTAACTGGGGTGACTGCCCCAGGAATGATTTGCAGGAGATGCAAATGCTGAGTGCTCCTCCAGCGTGTGCTTGGAATTCCAAACACAGCCCATTANTCACAGCCTCCCCCCTTGGCTCTGTTGGCCACGGCTGCCGCGTAAGATCGCGCGTCCAGGATCAGCAGCTTCTGAGGCTGGATTGCCAAACTCTCTGCTCCTGAGGCGTTGGAGATGGAGGAGTCTGGGGAGGAGGAAAGGGGTGATGAGCTCAGAGGATCCCTCTGACATTGTTACAGCACAGTTCCCTCAGCCCCACCATGCACAGGCACTGCACCATGGGGACTGAATACAACAGATTCCCTCTGTTACAGCATCAGAGATGGAACTTTCACGCAAAGCTCTGCCCTCAACAGAAAGCAACGGTGACAGCCTTACCAAATTCCACATCAGAGAGGTCCCCTCCGTTGGGCAGATCTCTGGAGCAATTCCCATTCATTAACTTGTTACTGTTGGACCTGGAGTCTGAGGCACAGGCTTTGGCCACGGACTGCACCAGGTGCTCATCGTCGGCGTTCCTCCAGCCCCACCAGCTCACCTCGGGCTGCCCGCAGCGGGAGATCACTGCCCCATTGCTCTGGTGCCTGCACACAGGGACACAGCCACAGTCAGCACACGGAGCACACAGGGCACACACAGCTCAGTGCAGTGCTGCAGTAGCTTCATTCCCAGCAGGGACCATCATTCAGCAGTTGTCCCCAACCTGGGATCCAGCTTCCCTGCAGAATGATGGCTGTGACCACAGTCACTGACAGGTGGAAGTCAAAGCAAGGTCAGGAAGAGAAAACAGAGCATCTTCCTGCTCAGCATTTTGGCCTGTTGGCCTGTGAAAGCTGGGGAGTGCTGTGGAACAGCAGGTGAGGCATGAGAGAGGAATTCAACATGGACACCCTAACCTGGACACGGCTCTCATCTCCTGGGAGGTGACATTCAAAACAAAATTTTTGTTTCACACATCGGAAGAGTTAGTAGTTATTTCCTTAAATCTGACCTGGCTTCTTGTACTACACAAAAAGAACAGACCTGGAATAATTAAAGCTTACTGAACCATTGCAAACATGCTCTGAAAGAGATATGAAAACTCTCTCCTCTAATCTATTATAAAAAGAGGACTGCAATGTATTATCACAGTAATTCCACTCGCTGCCTTTCTGCTGGCACATCCCCCTGCTGCCACCAGCTCTGGACTCACCAGCCACTGGAAGGAACAAACTTCTCCCTGACCTTGCCCAGCAGCAGCCGGACTCAGGGAGCTCAGCCTGGGGAAAGGAGGCCCAGCTGTGGGTGCAGAGCTGCAGGGGGAGGGGCCAGAGCAGCACACACAACTTCTGGGGCATCTCAGAACATTT